AAAATAGTCTTCTATAAGTCTATAATCCACAGTTTACTGTATCAGTCTAGTAAGTCATATCATGATATACTGTTTGTGCTAACTGGTCCAATAGCCTGATCTTTAGCAAAGCATCCTTCCCCTTTCTCCACCCCTGTCAAAAACGTTGGCAAAACTGAGCCAAATTTAAAAAAAAATGAAATTAAAAAAAATACTGTACGACTTATTTTAGACTCTTTTGTTGACCTAAACACAACGGGAGCTACCAGTTACACACAGCTTATCAACGATGGTGCATTTTAATCCTATTAATCTTCATGCTGATACAATAAAGTATTTTATACAGTGATCAATTTTTAATGCTTTATTCGTTGATTAAAAGAATATACATTTAACATAAACCATACAACATCAGTCATCAGTTCAAACATTCAGCTGGTTTCCTTACATTTTCTGTCAGGAGTTTTTTTTGTCTGATCACATTTATAAGATAAAATCTCACCACATCTGGCATATACACACACTGTGCCAGTGGATTCACTCTACTGATGTACATATAAAATCCGCATGGTATGTGCTCACTGGAGACAAAACAGCGCACACCTGTCAAAAGGTCATTTTAATATAAGATGGTAAAACCATTTGTAAAACACATATAAACTTTTTCCATAAATAGAATCATATCTGGACATCTGTTGCATAAATTGTGTTTTCCAAAGCTTACAATATAGCAGCCAGGTCTCAGCACTGCTGGGCACCCACGTTGGCCACTTACTTTATTATTGCAGACTGTCCTTTAAACATTAAATGCACAACATTCGTACCACTTAAAACTGGGGTCAGGTGGAAGTCTCACAGAGACCACGTCTGTACCGCGGTTGCCCTGAAACAGTTAAATCGGCTTTTAAAGCCTCTCAGATATAACAAGATTTTAAAACATACTTCATGGAATGTTCTTCATGCATCATAGCAGCTCATACCTGTGATAGAACAAGCTTTGTATTTGCTTCCTTTCCTTCCTTTACATTCACTATTCACAGTGAAACAGGTGCATGTTTGTTAAGAGTTCTGAGGTTGCTGACTGAGCCACAGCACAGCTGTGTACCACAGGTCGAAATTCGACCTTATATATTACAATCTAGCAGTATCTGGCTGGCCAAAAGTTGGCCTGCCCCTGCCAGCATGTGGGCACTTCTTCGTTTTTAATCTATTCTTTGGCAGCTGACACAGGCGCTGACAGAGAAAATCCAGTGACTCGGTTGCTAGGGATTTCACGACTAATGTTTGTTTGCAGGTGTATACCTTTGTACTGAAGTCTTCACTGTTATGTTTTTACCTTATCGGAGTGCACATTCTTGCTTTTTTTCTTTCAAACTTTGGCCCAAAGCTAACTTTTAAGGAGGATGGCAGAACACGAGAATAAACAAGGAGGAGTTTGCAAAGAATCCGAAAGACTACATACGGCTCATGGAGTGGATCTGGAAGCGCAGGTACTTGAACAGCTAGTGTTTCGCCCCACCGCTTACCAGCTAGGAAAAGCTGAGAATAGGAGTTAAGTCATACTTCAGAATCTGCACGTGAAATAAAGCAAGGTGAGAGTCTTACGATGAACAGCCCTGGTTAGACTTCTCTTCCTTTAAGCCTATTAAGTAGCATGCTACCAGATTAAGCACACAATGACAGCACAGAAATCCACTGGGCTATGGATAGGGGTATCAAAAGGGGTTGGCTCCTGAGCTCAGAACTCCGATATAAGAGTAAAAATCATTACAAATGCAGTTACTCAGTAGAAGTAAAGTTAGCCGGCAACCTCGGACAGCCTTTGGCTGTGCCTCTGTAAGGTTTGGTAGACAAGTCCATTAACCGTGAAAACCCTAAACACTGCCACTTTCAGCTTCTAAACCAATACCCGACTACGTTCTTTGATCAAGAAGTAGAATACACATATATAATTCTATATAGCTAATACTGATTAAACACAGCACAAAAGGGGTTAATTCACACTACTGAAAAAAAAAACCATAATAGGACCCTACTTGCATATGTAACCACAGGAATTGTAGGTAAGGAGCTAAATGCCTTCACTGAAGCTTTGCATCTCTCTGTAGAAGTGACAAGTTGGCTCAGTGAAGACACTGAGCAGCTCTATGTCCATGACGGCGTGCCAAGGTCGACCCAATCCGAGAGATACTTGCTCAATGAGATTGTGTACTGGATCCACATCCTGATCAGCCAGTTCTCCTTGGTCAAAATCAATGCTTTCTTCTGTGACTTCCAGAACTTTCAGGTCAGAGCCACGAAGACGAGCAATTGCTATAAGATTATGAGCCCAAACTGTGTAACCTAGGGGGAAGACGAAGAAGAAAAAGTAAGTTGCTCTGTCATTTTGCCACGTGGCACTTTTTTTTTTTTTTTACAGAAGTACTTAGTAGGAAACCATCTCAATGACCCCTATTTGTCATCTTCCATCTGGCAGAATCCCCCTACAGCATGGGGATTTTTTTTGGTTGCAAGTAGTAAAGCCCCATTTCATATTCTGAATAAAGAGTTGACAAATATATTTCAAGTAGTTCGACCAAGCTTTTCCAGATCTAATTTCTTCACCATTTGTAGAAAAGTGGACTTCCTTACTACAAGTTACAGCTACAATTTCAAACCTTCTGTGATCTGCTTTGTAGTAGAAATAAGGAGACTTTAAAAGATGTCATCAGTTATTTCAAGTGAATGTATAAAAGGATTGTCCTAAAACTGTGTTTGTGCTAGAAAAAAGTGGTTTTGTTACATTAGAGGTAGATTTAACAGAGAGGAAAAAAAAAAAACAAACCAAAAACCCCCAACAATACACACAAACCAGAACCCTCTCCAGGAAATAGGGCACAGCAGTATATATATATGTAAATATTAAAACCAAAACAAACAGATAAAAAGCTCTACATATATGTTGTTATTCCATCTGAGATTTAAAATAATTACAAAGCTTCTCCCTCTTCCCATTAGTATATATTGGCATCCCTCTTTAAAAACACCTACTGCCTGCTACCTGTTAGCTTTCTGTACCCTGGCTAAGGCAAATGTTGGGCTCCTCCTCATTCAGATGCAAACCACAAATAACCTGGGAACTTCCCTTTTTTTGGGAGCTCTGCCAAGTCAGCCCTTCCACTGCAAAAGGAAAGGCTCGTTTCTGCCTTCATCATCATTCTCTTGGTGAGATACCCTCTTAAATTCCAAGTAAAGCTGCAGTCTGTACAGTATTTGAACTGGGAAAATTAAGCTGCTGGGAAATTAAAACTGTATGTAAATAAAAGCCTTCTTCAGAGCTAATAGTAAAGGAGAGGAGGGGGGAAAAAGAGTCCGCAAACAATCCAAAAACAAACCATCACCACCGTGAGTAGTACTGGAAACTGAAAAATAACCTCTTCAGCAGACAGGAGAAACCTGAGCACTTACATATAAAGTGAATTATGGAGCCAGCAACCATTTTATGGTAAGCCTCAGGAAACACAAGCTTGAGCTAAGACATAAGCTGCACTGAAACATCACAGCATTCTAGATCTTTCTTCCTAGTCATGTTCTTTTCACAGTTGCTATTCTTGAAGAAAGATGCTTATGCTACAGTACCAGAGGAGTTATAGTCACAGCTTTAAAACTATCAGGAGGCATTTATAAGCAGCTTAGCTAGCTTCTGCAAGGAGGGGAGAAAAGATGGGGAAAGAATCTGGGTCCCAACACCAGAGCATGGTTGATACTTGGCCATTCTCTCCCCCAGGTATACACAGCATCTCTCCAATGAAGATGTAGGAACGCCCATTTGCTACACAGAACTGTAGAAGGCATTTACTTTCCCAATACCCTGCACAGACTAATTCCTTCTGCTGAATAGAGATGCACTGGTATTAAAAGATACTTGTGCTAGCTTATTTCAGGTATTTCACCATATTTTTAAGTTTAGATAATGCATTAGAGGACTTCTCTGTAGGAGGAGGATAATTTAGGGTAATGCTTTTAAAAAAAATATTTTTTTTTTTTTTTTAAGGTCCTCACACTTGTATCCAAATGTTAAAAGAAACCCGTAAAATGCACATTTAGAGTGGTACAGTCACATGCCAGTATCCAGAAATTGGTCAGACCTGGAAACTGTAAAGGAGAGACAGCTGAACCGACTCCCCCCTTCCTTATAATTTTTCAGTAGAAGACAGTGGAAAAAACTTTTCCTAGTACAAGCAGCACAACCTTCTGACTTCAACCAAGGAAATGTGAACATACAGCCTTCACTGCTGAAGGTCTCTCCCTGTTCGCGCTGAACGACTGGAGCTTTACTCCCCCAAGCAGTCCAAGGACAGCTTATTCTTATGCAACACAATACAGAGTCATTATTTAACTCCTTCATGCATCGCCATGATTGGTCTTGGTAAGCTGATTCCAGCACAAACAAAAAGAACTCTTCTGAATTATTTCAGTTTCAGGTGCCTTCAAATTGGCTAAACAACTGTAACATCTATCAAGTACTGTACTGATGAGAGAACTGAATATAAATGCACACTTTTTTATTATTTGCAACTATATGGCAAATAAATACGTGGGATAAATATAATTCTGGTATTCCTGGAGAAACCAACTCACCCTCCTCTGCATTGCATTTTTCAGCTTTCATCTTCTGGCAAAGTCTTACCAAACTGGTAACAGACTTCCTCCCCTCAGCCTTAGGGCACTTCCCCATGTTATTTACAAACAGGAAGCACAATCATCTCATCTTGCCAGCATATGAGCTCACAATAAAACAGCAAATGTTTTCAGTGTTCACGGTCACATAACCAGCCACCTGGTGGAACTTGCATAATGCAGACCACTTTCAGGATAAGCCCCCTGGAATGCTCGGTTCTTAGTGATCCCCACTTCTGTGAGAAGTCTTATAAAATCCTATGCGACTTCTCAACAGATGTTAGTAAGCTATTAAGTACTTTTAGAACTCATACACAATAAACACCATCAAATTTTCATACACAAAAATACAAGTACAAGATACAACAGAACATACAGCAACTGTGCAGCAGACTTTTGAACACCACACCACTAAAACACATTGTGATTAAAAAGGCTGAAGTGTTGCAAGTATTTCAAAGTCATATAGCATGCCCGCAGAGTGTATTACCTACCATGAACAGCCAGGAGAGACAGTCTTGTGCACCTCCAGGCTAGTAAGACAAGTGGATCTTCATTCCGGTTGTCACTGAGATCTGGGAAGCCAGACATATCTATCACATCATTCATTAGTATGAAGTGAGTGAGGAACTTGTCATACTGCCTGGATATGAGGTCAACAACAGCCCCTGAAACACAAGTGATGTAGCTGTCAAAGTGAATCCTCTCTAAGGGGATACTGGGCTTAAGAATCCTTAACATATCATCACTTTTGACATCAAAAGCCATTATATAGACCCGAAGATTAGTGCTGTTACGAGTCAGCGCCTTCCAATTCTCATCTTCCGGCATACTGTCCAATGACTTGTGCATTATGGAAACACTGTGGACCAGGAGAGACAGTCGATGCAAAGGCACATGGTTGCTATCAGCCAGGACTCTTGCCATTTCAGCTGTAAAATCACAGAAATCCAAAGCGAGCGAACGCAGATTCACAAAGCGCTCCAATTCAACCGCAGTGATTAGAGTGGTATTACCAGGGATGTGGTTGTCCAATAAGCTCAGATGTTCCATGGTGTTGGCTATAGGGTTTGATAAGGAGGACAACGATGTGGGAGTTACTATTTGCAGCATAAACCCACAAGACAGCCATTTCAATTGCCTGCTATTGCCTAATATCTCTTCAAATAGCTGTTGGATTCTGCAAGTAAACAAAACAGACAATGATCTTGTTAAACATGGTTTAGTCTTACCAATTGCATACCATTCTATTTTTTATTCCAGATTCTTCTTTCATTTATGGTCTTATTCTGTAAGAAGGTGCTATTATTATGGTTCTTGTGAACTACAAGTGTTAGAACCTGACTTTGCAGACCTCCCACAGCAATTTAACCCTCACTGCACAGCAGAAAGATTTAAAATTGTAAGCCAGCTTGTGAAAAATAAAGTATCTTCTCTTTCAAAAACAGTGGCACACTATGAACCTTCATTTCATGTATTTTCCAGCACGTATTTAACACCCTCCCACATACATTTTAAGGTTATGCAAATATGAAAATATTTCAAATATGTAAATAATTCTTATGCAAATAAGAAAACCTGTAATGCTTTTAAAACATAGCTCTTGTTTTTAAAAGCAGCTTTTTGCATTTGCTAACCTCTCCAGAACTGCAAATTCAGTATGGAAAAAAAAGTAATTTTCAATGAAAGGTTGCAGAAACTTTACTTTGAGCATAAATCAGAATGACTGAAGCTACCTGCTCGACTTTGCTCATTAAAGCGTAAAGAACAAACATGTAAGATGATTCTTTAAACAATTCCAAATTACAGCTAACTGGATTTTCAAGTGTCAACAGGTTTTAAGTTTTAGCAACACAACTTGGACCTCGTACAATTTCAGTCTCAGACAAATTCAAATGACAAGTGTTCTTTGAGCATATGTTTTAGGACATGTATGCAGATGAGCATTTGATCTCAAACCCTGGTCAGCCAGAGGAAAAGATCAGCGTTTAAGGAAAGCAGCTGAGCCAGGTTATGACAGTTCCACAAAACGTCAAGAAATAAGATGTAAACATTTCCAGCATGAAACCAGCAGAAATCTCTGTGCCTCAGTCAGGTAGGGTTTTGCACAGAATGCTTTTTTGTTTATAGCTAGAAATATCTGCATACTCTATGCATCTAAGCAAAACACGGTTCCAAAGTTGTTATTCTCATCCATGTATCTTTAATCAAGATAACGTCCAGGCAAAATTAAAGGCTTATTTAGCCCAGTATCCTGAATGACAGCAAAGAAACACTGACAACTTAAGAAGTGCAACAGAACAAGGAAAGCACATAGGGGTATTTCTCAGATTATCTCCCTAGTTTGCAAACACTTGTAACTCAGACCCACAGGCCAGAGGTGGCTCTTTGTATTCAGTAACCCTCAGAGACCCCCACTTCTACAAATTTATTCAAGTACACATTTAGCAACTCTTAACATCCAATAATAGAGAATTCTGCAGCGTGATTCCCCCCCTTCTTGCTCACTCTGAACCTGTCACCTACCACCTGTGATGCCCCATAATCCTTCTGTTGTAAGTTTAAAGATCAATCTTTACTCACCCTCTCCCTCTGCAAATCCTTATTCATCCTCTCTCTTGCTTGCATGTGCTTTCTTCCTTGTCCTAAAAACATACTGGGTTTGCAAGGTCTGACTTCTCTTTATAAGTGGAAAAGTTGGTGTGTTTACTGTATTTATCTATTACACACCTCAGAATAGTTCCCGAGGTTTTGCCTAGTACAGTCACAAGGTTTAAAGACTTCAGTTCTTCTGGATATTCCCTGATTTTTTGATTATTTTTTTTTTAACTGAGGACTGGCAACCACAACACAAACTAAACACAGTTTTAAACAATGGGTCAAGAGTCACAGATAGGGTAGTTTTGCTATTTTATTCCTAAATTCTTCTACAGTTCAGATGAGCCCAGTTTGATCCTGGCAATGTCTGTTTCACAATTATTCCTGACAATGCTTAAATTGAGGGCAGATTCTCTGACAATCCCCCCAACCCCCAAAGAAAAAGGTTCTACCACAGAAACCTCTCTCATTTCTTCTAGTGAACTATGACTCTTCCCTCCCCACCTCACCATACACACCTAGCAAATGGTGCTGTAATGGTTGCAGCAATGGTAGTTTATTTTGTAATAGCTTAAGTAGTCAATCTTAATAATGCTTGTAATATTCCACAGAAAAATTGAAGAGATGACAAATCAATCTTGAGATGCTTAGCAGAATACAGAATACTACCATCCACACACCTCACTGCACTACAAAAATCTCTTTAAATTGTGTTTCTCATATGACTTAAACATCTGAGTTAGAAGAGTACAGTTCTAGTACTCACACAATTTAGCAAAAAGAAATGCAATACAGAACTCTGCAGCTGTAGGGTAGGTTTTATTCCCCATGGGAATTGCATTAAATAACTTCTTAAAAGAGAGATACTGATTTAATGCTATCTACACATCAACTTAATAGTGCAAGCAGCAAAGTATTTATACAAGTATTTAGATTTGTGGTGACAAGTCTACCAACCTGTAGGTTCTAAGAAAACTTCCCCCAGTTCTTTGCCAATTTAATAAAAAGAGATCAAACATGTCCATAGAGAATACTTCAGAGTAACCACTTCTTGATTGTTTTTAGTACCTGATTTGTGTAAGGCCAGACAGGAAGCACCCATATAAATCACAGGCCAATAGTTTTAACGTATTTCAAGTAAGTCTTTCAAACACCCTCTCAAGGGTTTTTCCTCCCCTGCACATTTTTGAGTACATCCTATTTTTCATGAGCAGACTGCATCTAACTGCAGTTTGCAAAAAGTCTGAACTGTGTTCTAGAAATTTAGACGTAAGTGAATATTTGGGAATTAGCACCTGATTTATTATCGTAATAACTTTTACTTCAGCTGCTTAGCATGCAGTACAATATTCATCCTAACTTACATAGTTATCTTAAAGCTTATTTATAAAACTAAAGTTTAGGCATTGTTTAGTATGTACAACACAAAATGTAAGCAGAGCTCAGCACATGCAAGAAAGCAACATAACCTAGTGATGCCTCAACAAGTATACATCAGTCCCCTTTCCTTCCTGTAAGGAGCAATTGTGGAAATGTTCACTATCAACCTGAATCCTACAAATGATCATACCGGAGCAGAATAGATAAAAAATGAAAAAAAATCAAAATAAGTTAGTTTCACAATTAATGCCTGAAATGGTGCTTTCAGCCACAGGACAGACCAAAGCCTGACTAGACAAGCTGATTCACTTTTTATGCCCAAAGAACAGTCCTGACCAGTACTGAAGCACATTGAAGGCCCTGCACAGAAAGCAAATGTACTGCTAAGATGAGTATGGAGCCCATTTGTTTAATTAAAAAAGGTCAATCAAAATATTTTGTTTAATAACAGAGGCTAAACTTGTTCTTTTGGGAACCAAACCATCTGAACCACTCAGATAAACCATGGGAAGCAGATTTCCAGAAGCCAAAATTTTAAACTCTTTGTTCAACTCAAGACATGCTGATGCTGAGCTCCCCAAACCAAGGAACTGAGTTGTAAAGAAAATTTTAGAAAGGAACCAGGGCCGTGTATGCTATACAGAAACAGATAAAGCATTACAAACCCATGCTGGTCAGTGCAAAAGTGTATTTTTAGAGACACAATCTAAAGCCTCCTCTCCCTCAGAACAATCCTTAGTCTTAACTTGGAGGAGCATTCTAATGTTTCTGTGCTAGCGGAGATTCTGCCCACAATCTGTTACACCCAGCCCAATGCTATGGACTTCAGGAAATGTCACATTTTCTTCCCTGACTGCTTTGATTGGAAGTTACTAAAACAGCTAGTAATATTTATCACCATATGGGTTCCAAAATCCTCAACTACCAGTAATGCTGTCTCCAAAGGTTGCTCAACATCTTCCAGTGTTAGTTATCAGCACCCATGCTTTACAACTTAACTGATGCAAACACCAAGTACAAAAGACAAGACTAAAGAGCCGTAAAGACTTACTTCCAGAAGCAAATCTGCTGCTAGTGCGGATGAACTTGAGCATACTGAATAAAACACTCACAGCTTTCCTTTAATTTAGAAAAGGACCAGCAGGCCCCAAATACATTGTTTTATTCTAGAAAACAGGAAAAAAACCCACCAAAACCAACCAAACAAAAAAGAGGCAGCATTTATTTGCTCATTCCAAGATACGCAAAGGTCAGTATTCACCCAAAAGACTAACTTAAAAGTAGATACTGAGCTTTGAGTGGTTTATGGCTCTGAAATGTGCATACTTATTTTTGTTACTTGTTTGAAGAAATGTTTAACCATGCACTCAGCTGAGTAAACATCTGCTTAGATGGCTCTCTTCAAGTCCCTTGGCAAAGATTTGATTTTATATTTATGTTTTCACAATAAAGGATATGAAAAAAAGGAGCTTTTACCAAATCAGCCTTTTACCAGCACACAGCACTACAGTACATATGTTATGTATGCCCTAAGCATAATGGATGACACAGTATGTGACACACATCTGTATTTGCACTGTTTTGCAAACTTAAGCCAGGACCAAACCTTTACTTTGATGGTTGTGTTCACATACATACATTGACCTGATGATATACCTACACTAGCTCTAGAACTACTCAAAAAAATACCAGCACAGCTCCAGAGTGGCTGTAATTATTTCACTCCCAAACTACTGTGAGAAAGATGTTTAAAGTGACATAAATTAAAATTACGGTATTCAGAATTTATCTGTATGGAAGGTTTTAGCAGAATTGCTAAAATAGTTAACTTAGCATCACTCCCTCTATGGTAATTTATTCCAAAGTCAGTAGCTTTTTACACTGTATTTAACCTCTTCCAAAGAAGAACTAGTTATTCTATTGATAAGCATTCAAGGACTGTACCATATGTAATTACGGCAAGCTACAATACACCTCTGCACTAAACAAGCACATTGTGAGCTATGTTCTTCCAGGAATTCTGCAAATACACAACCTAGTTTTGAGATTCAACTTGAAATAAGTTGTTTGTGTTTACGTTCTCTTTCAAGTTTCCTTGCTACATGTCCTCAGTTATTGTGAAACACAACAGATTATTTTTCTAATTTTTTTCATGTGCAGCAATAGTAGAGGTGCTGGTAACAACACCCCATCCCTCTTCCCCTTTTGGTGCCATTAACACATTGTTTCTAGAAACAGTGAAAAGAGAAAAGAAAGGATTCTCACCCTGCTGAGAACATGAAAAGAAAAAAAGCCACAAAAATAGACTATTTCATGTTAACAGTAGGAACACAAACCAACTCAATTTAAGAATTTAAATTCCCATCCTATTAAAAAAACTTAAAAGCTTTCTCAGTCACATATTTCAGGCATGAAAATCTGTGCTATGTTATCTGGTTTTATTATTTCAATGTATTTGATAATTTAAAAATATAACTTACTGCTTAATCTTCTTGCCGTCAGGATCAACCTTGCCGAGGTATGTATTTGATATACTTCCATGTTGCTGCAGAATACTTATATCCCCAAAGAGACTTAACTTCTGGAGGTTCCTGTGAAACAACAAAATAAAAAGGAATCTGTGAGGAATCATTCTGGATAAAACACCAGCAATAAGAATAATTACATGGAACATACAGTCTGTTTTGGGAAACATCCTCCTGTCCCAGAATACAGGCACATATGGAACTAAAAAAAAAAAAAAAAAGAAAAAGAAAAAAAAAAAGAGAGACTGAAGTACTGAGAGGAAAAGAGAGGAAAAGGACAACACAAAGTGTTGAATCCAGCTGTAAAAGCAAACGCCAGTATTCAGTCTCGACAGGAGTATTTTCAGTAGGCCAGCACCATAAATAAAACTCTTAGCAGTGCTTTCATGCACTTTTTAGTCCTTGGAACATGTGGTGTTAAGTGTCACAGATGAAAACACCAAATATCTATTCCTTTTAATATATAACACTTCATCCAATGCCCAAATAGAATGCAACCACAAACAATCCTGCCTGAGCACTTACGTATTTCAGCTGGGTTACAAATGGGAGCCCAAACCTGCCTCAGACGAGGCGATCCCAAACCTCAGATAGGAAAAGCAAAAGTTCCCCACACTGTGTCTAAATTTCTGCTACATCAAAACAGCGGAAGCTGTTCTAGCATTTGCCATCAGTGACCAGAAGAGGGGTAGCGGTCCACCATGACATATAATTTTGTTTTCTAGAAGGGATGCCTAAAAAGAAGTGAAAGAGCAGCCTCTATGTTTATGCTGGACATGACTCAGTGTGCTAGACAGTTGGCTTTCCTTTCCTTAATACAGTTTATTTCTACCTTGCACCTTTTATATTCCTAAAAATTATCAAGCAAGAAATATGGAAATGACTGCAGTTTAGGAGTAGCTGTGTGGCACTTACTTTTGAGATTTTTATTTTTTTAACTAACTTCTGGGTAACATTTTTAATACATGCTGTAAAGTAGATTTACTCCTTACATGCAAAGACTAGTCTGCAATTAATTAACATGGCAGAAACTCCAGTTTTATCACAAATGGATACATGAGTTGAATTAATCTTAAACAGCAGATGCCAATTAACCTGTAGCTGACAATTAGCGAGTTACATAAATCTTTATTTCTGCTGGCTTACAAATCATATGCTAATACTTCAGATCAGCTTTGAGGAAAATGCAACACAATTACAATGCTCAAGCACAGGGAAGCTCTGGTGCCATCTCACTACTTCTGCAGTATGAACTGATATTCTACCAAGAGGAGGGGGGGGGAAAAAGTAATCTCAAGTAGTCACGTTTCACATTTTTTAAGTAAACATGAAATGCAGTCTGTAACTGGGATCTACCATAAATAATAATTTACTTCATTTGAAGTTTCTGTATTCAATAACCAGATACTAGTATCCTGAAATCTACTCACTATTGCACTTGCTACTTTTCTTCTACAGGTGAAGAACAACCTCATACCAAGATCCACAAGCTTCCTACTGAGTCAGGCAAATACTGGAGCAAAATACCTAGATTTTAAAACTGTTTCAGGAATTCTAACCATTCAGTGTCTAGTCTTTTAAATACAGGACTACTGCACTGATGACAAGTTAATATAATCTGAGCCCTGACCACATGCTCAATATTCTTTGAATCTGACAAAGATGATGCCTGATCATACTGAAGAATAGGCTTGGCAGGGAAATCTGAAGACACTGGCACCACCACCTCTTCTTTCCTCAAAAGTTGTAAGAGAAAGTCTGGTATGACAGGGAAAGCAGCAGAAACCTCCACCTGGTGTGAAAGGCAGTGTTCACAGCCAATGCTGTAATTAAGCTTTTATCTTCTGATCTTGGTAACTTACTTCTGAAAGCTGAGACAAAATGCTATCTTCAGACATTTTGAATCACCTGCATTATTTATATCACACACAGGTCTCATTTTGTGCTATTCATACCCCCAGTGAACGCTAGCATATGCAGGTACTCATTTCAGAGCCAAACTACAGGACACACGAAACACTTTACTAGTATCCCACATTTCTGCTACATCTATTTGACTGCCATTTCACACACTACAGAGACACATGGAGAAGTTCTCTGCCTTGAAACTTAAGCAATGAAAACATCCAATTATTCTTCCATTCGCAGCAGTTATTACCATCAACAAACCTGGTCACAGTTCAACACAATATTAGATTTTTGTTACTATTTGCAGTGTCATATAATCTCTAAGGCGGTCAGCTCACATTTTTATTTCAGAGAGTTAGTAAAGCGATTACTATTTAAATAAAATTATTAGAAGTTAATTGCCATTTTTTGCTAAAAGTCATAATGGCATCTTAATCCTATGTACTACCCATACACAAAGTTGGGGAAAAAACACATGTTTTGGGGGGATTTCTAAGCTATTTATTTTCCACTAACTCAAAAGGCATGCTAAAGGCAGTAAGCTTCATCCTAGGCCTCATCTTCAGTTTTGGTTGGTCTTTTTAAGCAATCAATTTCAAAAAAGAACAAAATGGCCTTGCTTACATTCAACATGAATAAAGTGGTATGGCACATACTGTATTATTATACTAGTTTTTGCCAGTTTAAGCTGCCTGCTCAGACCAACAGAAGAGAGTCATTACAAAACCTCAAATACAGATGCAGTCTACTGTTTTGAGCGATTCCCCAATTTTTGGTCACTCCGAGATGGATACCATACTTTACCAAAATACCACAGTTTTACTACAGTCTTGCATTTTTGTTTCCACAGCAAAGATCAAGCAGGTCACACAGATGAACACACTGCAAAGGAAAGTGGGGGTGGGTGTGTGTACGGTTACTACCTTCTTATCTTTCTTCATAAGCAGCTAAAGGAGAGACCATACTTTGGGATTTCAGAGTTATATAAAAGAACATAGAATTTTTCTCCTGAATGACCAGCAGGCGCTTATTAGGTGCTGTATGCACTGGAATGACTCACAGCAAGTTTGTCACCTTCCCACTTGCTTTCTAGAACTCAGTTTTGAAAGATCAATTTGAGACAGCGCCAGATTATTAGGATCTATTACGAAAAAATTTGTCCCTCCAAATAATTGCCACAGAACATTATGCCCCACACCCCCCCCTTTTTTTTTTTTTAATAGGAAGAACATCAACTGTTTAAGCAATAATACACTTTGTTACTTCACTTCATTTACTGTCATAAACATAACAGGTCATGGTAAAGTTACAGGTCACGGTAAAGTTACAGGTCGCTAAATGTTACCAAAGTAGGGTTTATAATTAAATAAATTATGGATTTTTAGAGCTTATCACGGTCCCAGCGCTATTAAAGCGATATTTTGGGAGTAATATGCTGCCACCCACAAAATAAAGTATCTTGTCACTTGAACTTTACCTGAAATATGACAGGCCTAGAACATACCTTTTTGAATGATAACTGGCTGCCAGCAGCAATACTCAACAGAGTATTTTCAGTTGTTTTTAAACCAAGTTGCAGACAAGCAGATATTTCCTTAATTCCATGAGAATTAGCAAAGGCCACTCTGAAATATTTTTCTAGAGACTTAATATGCAGACTTGCTTAGAAATTAGCAATTTTATGTTGTACAGAAAATGCTTTTCTTAGCAAAAATACACATTGTTCTCCTCTACCCAAGAGAGCATTTAGAAATTACATTACTTTTAGTCATTATTTTTCTTAGGTCCTGTGGTATTGTAAATCCTCAAGGAATTCTATAGCCATCTCAAGTACTTTTTTTTTCCTGCAAGGAGGGGGTGTGCATGTTACTGTGTTGTTTAATAATAGATTAAAAAGCCCACAACAAGATTACAAGGTTAAGAAACAGCATACCATTTCACAAAAGTAGATTTCTTCCTCCCCAGTTCTGAAGTATGATGGAAGTTCTTTGAACTTCTCTGCCAAAAAGCTATCATGAGAGGTGACAGGAGTTATGAAAGAACCATCCTGTTTTAAACTTAATTCCAAAACGAATGCATTTACAGTGATTCAGCCACTCCAGAATTTAAAAACACTGCTGTTTCCAACGTTTTGGAAATTAGAATAGCTATCCCATGTACAGGAACATACGGCAAACACAGGAAGAAATTATTAATTATCCTTGCATTACAGATGAATAAACAGAAGCATAGAAATAAGGCAACTGGACTGTGGTCATTCCTTCGACAAAGCTAAGCATCAGGCAGATCACAATGCCTCCGGTTTAGACATGTGGTCACAGTCAGAACCAAGCAGCAATGTGGCATATGCTAATGCTTCTTCCCAAAGCTCTACTTAAAGAGCTAAAACACAATGTTCTACACGCAAACCAATTGGTTATCGGTAGTCACCTTGCAAGAAATAAATACATCAAAATAAACTAAAAACCTTGTCTGTTCGAGGCAGGGAAAATGAACCTATTCAGAGGGTAAATATGAACAAAAGGTCAAGTGTTTAATGCAAACCCACTCCCCAACTTTTAAAACGTTCATAAAAGAGCGCCTGTTGCAATAACCAGCTACCCCCTGTTCCCGAGTCATACATTATTCATCTCAAAACATAAGAGCAGCATGCAAATGATTTGCAGACATCACGAAAGCACAGTAATGCAAATTCCCATCAAAACTGGTAACTTTTCACCTCTGGCTTACCACCAAAATTATACTAATCTACCAGAAAACAAGTACTGGAGAAACAACTACTTCTACATAGCATTTTACTGCAGTCCTGATCCACACTGGGCACAGAGAATCTGTAAAAAAAACTTAAGAAAGCAAGTATCTTCTTCAGAAGAAAAAACATACCAGAAGCATTCTCACAACGCATTTAACTTTGACAGTCTCCTATTTTAGTGAGACAGAGGAGACGGGGGGGGGGAAGAAAGAGCATTCGTTTTTCCAACGAACCCCCCCCCAGGCAACATCTCTGCAAATACTATTTATTTTAAAATTCTAAGTGTATGTAGTCCAAGATATTTGTCTCAGATCAGATAATCACCACCAACATCACTTCAACATTTTTTCCACTTACGACATTAGCTGGATTTCCCAAAGATCAAACAGTTCAGCAAAAGCTCTTTAAAGGCAAGAGAAGCCCTAACAATACAGATGATCATGATCTGCACACCGAGGATTCGCTGGGCAAGAAATAAATTAAGACAAAGGTGAACTGGGACCCATGAGCTGTTTTCAGAAATAAGGTTTGTAACTCTCAGCATCACAGCTGCACCACAGGGAAGTACCTGCTGGGCACAACAGAGCAGAGGAACTGAAAGTGTGACTTCACATACCACATTTGCATTCATCTCAAACCAACGAGAAATTATATTTAAAGTCCTCTTGCTACAATTCAAAATAAAGCAAGGAAGGCCTCAAACTACTCTTTAACCTGTCCAGAACCAAAGAGGGGTGGTGATCAGACCATGATTCAGTCAGTTATAGGCAGTTTTCCAAAGGCCATTCAAAGGTTTAACTCATCCTAAAGATACCCTGAAATACTTGCAGTTTTGGGGTTTGTTGTCTTTTATTTCCTTGATAGGTGAAGCTATACACACACAGAAGGGAAATAATATTAACCATTTCCTACCCTAAACTCTGCATGGCTTTCCAAACACATCATGACTTAACTAATATCCTTGTTTTCCTGTCGTGGGTGCTGACAGGAGGCCATATATTAAGATTTCTGATTATTACCCTTTTAAAAAGATATTTATCTTGATCACACCCACACACAGCAAAGATTCAGAATGCAAGTAGTTTCATTTTAAAGAACTCCAACTTCAGGAAATTAGCCTGCAAAAGTAAGTCTGTGAAAAAGCAGGATCTAAACACATCTTAAGTCCAACCTACAGGAAAACATTTCTATCATTTAAATTCAGTTTGGTCAAGAAAGTCCTACATCTAAAGTGTTTTTTCAAACAAAACCAAACCTCCTCCTCGTTAAAACAGAGTCAATCCTCACTTTAGCCGGCAACAAGAGAGCTGGCATGAAAGCTCAGCTTTTCAATGGCAAAACCCCTCATAGCTAGAAAGATGAAAGTGTTTCATTGGGGCAGTACTCCATCCTTCTCCGTCCTGAAAAACACCGGTGGTGCCCTTTTCCCCTTCCTATTAATTTCTCACGGCATTAATTATTTTTCAATCATGCATAAGAGGTTTCAACCCTGGCGGTAGTAAGGCTTGTATTTTAAAGTGATAAAGGTGCCTTGTTAAGCAACAAATTCAAACTCCCGGCTCTCACTCGCTCCACAGCAGTTGCATTCCCCCTTCTTTCAGAAGGGCGAAGAAGTTTTTATTACTGCAGCTACATCTGTTTCGCATATTGACTAGCCGCTTGCCAACTAAACGCCTGCGTTTATATTCCCCATCAAGCTACAGAACAGGACAACAATTGGGCAGAGCGAAGCAGCGTGCCTCCGTTTCTGCTCAGCTCGCAGCCGCACGAACAGGAGGGTTTCCCGGCCCGGCAGCGCGAGGCTCCGAGGGCCTTCCCCCCACCGCT